GATTAAAAGTTGAAGTCCAAGCTGGGCGTTGGTGGTGCACACATTTAGTCCCAGCACTCGGGAGGCAGAGGCAGGCAGATCTCTGTGAGTTTGAGGCCAGCCTGATCTGCAGAGCTAGTGCCAGGACAGGTTCCAAAACAATACCGAAAAACCCTGTCTCGAGAAAAAAAAAAGAGTTCAAGTCTAGCCCCAGTGGTGGTGGTGCACACCTTTAATCACAGCACTTGGGAGGCAGAGGCAAGTGGATATCTGGGTTCAAGGTCAGCCTGGTCTACATAGGGAGTTCCAGGACAGCTAAGACTACATTGAGAAATAAAAACCAACATATCAAACAAAGAGTCCATGCCCAGGCTGGACTACCATAGTGAGACCCTGTCTTACAACAAACAAAAATTATCACAAGTTGTTATGAGCACTTTTCTGCCAGCCTGGTCCCACAGCTGTGTCAGCACCAAATAACACACAGAGTCACTGTATTAATTATGAAACTGTTGGTCGGTTACTAGCATTTCTTCTTGGCTAGCTCTGTCTTAATTATTAACCCATAATTACTAATATATGTATTTCTATATGGTCTTATCTTACCAAGAACACCAGACTCACTTGTCTTCTCTTCCCAAGATTATATCGAGACTGTGTCCTACATTTCCCAGAATCCTCCACCTCTCCTAGTCCCACCTATCTTGCTTTCTTATTGGCCAACAGTGCTTTATTCATTAACCAATAAGAGAAACATATTTACAGAATGACATCTCCCATCAACAAGTTACTTCTATGTTAGCCACATAGCAGTGCTCCCAATCTAGAATCATGAATGTGTGGTACCATGCTTGTCTACCATCCTTACTAACTGTGAACAACTCTACAAGATCAAAGAGTACACTCATTTAACCTGCGGTTTCCATAGTAAATAAAGTGCCTGGCCAAGAGTGAGTGCTCCATAAGCCTTTCTACAGAAAACGATGAATGAGGTGAGAAGGAAGGTGAGGACAAAAGATAGGAATAGAACTTGAGTGTGGTGGATTATACCTGAAATCTCAGCACTCAGGAGGCTGAGGCTGGAGAATTGCTTTGCATTCTAGGATAGTCTGGGCTTCAGTTTAAGACCTTGTCTCAATAGACAAAAACAAAAACAGAAAGCGAGGCTGCTGATGGAACACCAAGGTACAGATAGACGCTCTCTATGCTAGCCAGAGGCTTCCAGACCCTGAGTGGGCTCCTAGGAGCACTTTCTTTTGGGGGTCATGATACTTTGGAGGTTTGAAGGCAGGGTGTGTGGGTGGAGCTAGTCTTTATCTTAGAGTGCAGCCCTAGCTAGCCTCAGATGTTGACAGCTGGAGCTAGCAAGGGTTTTGCAAACCTTCCCAGTTGCAGAAGGCCAGCAGTCTGTGGGACAGGTGGGTGGGGCCCGAGCTTATCTCCCAAGTACAGTCCTAACCTCAGATGGTAACAAAAGGGGAGCTGGTGGGAGTTTTGCAAACCGTCCCGATTGCAGCACCGTTTGGATGGCCTGGCCGGGGTGACTGCGCCATTAGGTGTTGGGAGGATGACAGGTTTTAGGTTTGAGCCTTTGGACGAAGCTGGGCTTTCAAGGCACTGGGGTGGTCATGCTACATCTGGCTTGCCTTGACCCAAATCATGACCTTGCTTCTTTGTAGGGCAAGTGAGAAGCCACAGCTCTGCAGGTGGGTGTTTCTCTGAAAGCAAGGTCTCCTTTGCCAGGTCACAGGGTCCTTCCCCTGCTCCATCAAGTCACAGTTTACGGCCATCTTGACAAAGTAAGGCTGCCCCTTCTCCTTCGAGTGCACTCACCTTCTCTCCCCGTGGAGAGAATTTCTCTGCTGCCATTGCTTTTCTGAAGTTAGACTGGGAAGGACTGTCGAGGTTAGACAGTTGGCCACTGTCAAGGGGACACAGGTCCTCGGCCCTGCTGCCTCATCCCTCTATACTAGAGTCTTCTCACAGGCTTGGAGCAGGGCAAGGGGTGGACTTGAAGAGGCCCTTTCCACCACAGCCCCAACGGGGATCTTGCAACACTGGGATGGGGGCCCTGGGGGCCCGGGAGTGAGGCAATCTCTGGGGGTTGGGAGGTGTGCACCGAAGGGGGCAGCTTTCACAAGCACGCTGAGTGACCTTGGCAGACTCACCTTGGGCAGCTTCCTCCCTCGTGGTATCAGTATCTCCCCACAATCTTCCTTCTCACAGGCTTCCCTGTAGCCTAAGATTGAGTCTTAATTCAGGACTCTCGTCCTTTACCTCAGTTATGCTCAAAGAAGGCAAAGTGGCCCAGAATGGATGTGGCTGTGGGGGTGGGGGTGGGGGCTTGATTTGCTGGTTTTACAGGTTCTCAGAGCTTCTCCAAACTCTGGCGGGGGTTGGCCAAGTGCCCCTCCCTACACTCGTCCCACGGTGCTGTCCTTTCCCTATGGATGACTCTGAGAGGTCATTCTCAGGTCAAGGATAAGCCAGCTAGACTCCCAGCTCAGGCATCAGGGCAGGAGTCAGTTGTAATTCCTTTCTGCAGCGCAGGTATTTTCTGGAGTACTCAACTTGGGCCTTGCAGGTCATCCGGCCTGCCTTACACTAACTGAGCATCCATCCATTCTTAGCACCGGCCGCTTGCATTGCTTCCCCCTGTGCCCATCCACCTTCTTAAACATTTTTAGGTTTCAACTTAGATGTCACTTCCTCCAAGAGGCCTCTAACTTTCCTAGCCGAGACAGTAAATATCTGTTTGTTAATTTTATTTTCCCCACAGGTACATTCAGTGGGATAATGAGAGTGAAAAGACTTCATAAAGGTGTCCAAGGAGAGTCTTGGGAAGCCACAGGGATGGCAGCTATCAGGAGAGTCATTGCCATTCTAGGGCCCTCAGAGCAGGGGAATGCTAAAAGAGGGGCCAGCAGAGAGGTTCTGCCTCCAGCTCCTCTAGCCCTCCCTCTGGGAAACCGGCTGCTGAGGGAAGACGGCCTCCCGAGAGGCAGCCATAGAAAGGACAGAGAATGGAGGGGTGGGTGGCAGAGACAGGAGGCATGCTTGTTTATCACCCCTTCTTTCCTATTCCTGAAGCTGAGACACCATCTCTTTCTCAGCAGAGATGATGCTTGCTTGGAGTATCCCTTGAAAAACTTACTTTGATTGAAGTCCCTAACGACAGATTGAGAGCCACCTGGAAGGGGCAAGGCGTCTCAGGATAGAACCGGTCAGAAGGGAGTGGGGTGTGTTTGACTGTCCCTTGTCATCTCTGATCGGGATCTCACTGGGGAGGTGGCTCTTCATTAGTTTCAGTGACAATTAGAAAGATACTCTGAAGAATAACAGGTCACTGAGGGGCTAGGAGGAGACACAGCTCAGGGCCATGGGAAAGATGCTCAGACAAAGCAGAGCTACCACTTAATGCCTTCAAAAAGGAGTCCAGGGGTGGCTGGGGCGGCCTTTAGCCAAGTGGAGGGGATTAGGAGACTGAACCACCAGCTGCATTCTGTGTAACCTCCCTTATGCATCCCGAAGGCTGATGAGAGATTTTTCCTAGGTTCAAGTCTATCTACCCTGATTACAGCTCAGCTGAGGACTCGAGGACACAGGGCAAAGAGAAGGTGCTGAGACAGATGTGGGGAGAGTTAGCATGGTGCACACAGATGCCCGGGATGTGTGATAGCTCACACCACTGAGGTCTGAAGTGGAAAGAGAAACAGATCTGTGATGATCCTTATACACCAGCCCCTGCCCCACCCTACCCCACCCCCAACACACACACTGTAGTTCTTATCCTGTCTAGTCTCTAACATCGTGGGGCTTGTTTTGTGGTACTCAGGATGGAACCCAGGGGCTTGTAAATATTAGGTGAGCACTCTGCCCCAGCCCAGGCCCTCACAATTCTTTTCTGGCTGTGGCTCACCTGGCAAATCTGTGCTATTTTTATCCTGAAGGTAAAATGTGAAAGACATACACCATGCTGAGGCAGCAAAGGACTGAGTGAGTTCTTATCCACTTTGGCCCTTCCTGCTTTATCTACAAGATGCGGCTCACACTATCTTGCTTGTCTGAGGGCAAAGCTCACACAGATGATCTCTTGAGGTCTCTCCCAGAACCTCTTGAGATCTGTGATTTCACGGAGCTAATTTTGATTCTGCCTCCACATAGTTGTGTGATTCTAGACAGCCTCTTCCTTCCTGAGGCCCCAGGCTCCTCACCTGCAGACAGAGAAGTTTGGAGGAGATCCGATGTTTTTCTGTGTCCAGCAAACGGAGCCGGAACAGATACACGCTCAGCACATGTCAAATCCCATTCTTCTATGAAAATAACACACAGGATAGATACTGAAATTCCTCTTGTGCAGATGGGGAAACCATGGTACTGAAAGGAGAGGTAACTGGTTCAGGGTCAGACAGGCTGTAAGTCAGGGATGCAAACCGATACTCAACTGTTATGCAGTTTTGCTTCCTGGGCTGCAATTCTGTGGGAAAGAACTGGAATGTGGGGGTTCGCATCCTAACTGATTTCTCCCGGGTGTTCATCTTCTCCAGTGTTAGGGAGCCAGGAGTGGGGATGTGGAAGAGGAGAAAAGAGACAGAGTGATGGATCAAGAGCTAAGGGACCACAGATATGGCAGAGCCACCAGAAAATCAGCTGGCAAAAGACCTTCCCAGCCTTAACGCAAGAGTGCAGGCCTAGGGTTGATGGGCCTGGCACTGGAACTGTGTAGTGCTGAACCCCAGAATTCTTCAAGACAGTCTGCAGAGGCTGCTGCAGGACCTGGCATGCACAGTGGTGGTACCAACCAAGCTCTGCTGGAGGGTGTGATGGAGAGAGCTGAGGGCAGCATTTGCTAGGTATTATTTACTAGCAAATGCTAGGCAGTATTTACAAGGTGTTTATGTGGACAGGGAGACAAGAACATGTGGACCTAGGGACACTCAGGGTCTTCTATGAGTATAAGCACGCCCTTCCGCCAGGCCCAGGCCCAGCCCCAGCCCCAGCCCCAGCGAACAGCTTCAGCATCAAGTCACACTGCCGTTTATTCAGCCACAGAATCTTTATGGTCCCGACCTTCCCAGCTACTGGCTGCCATTGTCCATGATCCCTCTTTTAGGCATGGCCTGTTCAGGACTCTGGGGACCAAGGAGGGTGGGGGTCCTCAGGGTCTGGTATCCACAGTCCGCCAGGCTCAGCTGCAGCCCCCCACACCCTTGATAAGGCTGGCAGCCTCAGGGATCTGGCGGAAGAGGTTGCGAAGGGTGTCTAGCTCCTGGGTGAGCTGCTCCACACGGCTGCGCAGGCGCTCATTTTCAGCCATGTACTCCAACACCTTCTGCTGTGTCTCCATAATGCGCCTCTTGGCCTTGTCCCGGCTCTTGCGCACTGCAATGTTGTTGCGTTCGCGACGCAGCCGGTACTCGAGGCTATCTTTGTTCACTGCCTTCTTGCCCTTGTGTGAGGGCCCAGCTGGGGATGGTGCCTTGAGAAGCGGGCTGCAGGGAGGGGCTGCAGCAGCCACAGGGGCCTGGAGGGTAAGTCAGAGAGACAGAGAAGTGAGGGTCCACCAGCACGCAGAATAGAGGCTGAGCAGGAATTCCAGCCCCAAGGGCATACTCGGGGCCTCCAAGGAACAGAGGGTTCCCAGGCAGCTCCCATCTCCCAGTCATTGCCCTGTCACTGTGAAAGACCGCAAAACCAGATGTACTGGGTCCTTGGTCTGAGACCAAAGCTGTCTTTTCATGCTCTCATATTCTCTGAGGACACTTTCCTTTGGTTTGTCTGTTGTAAGTCTCCTGTTCTACAATTCTACAATCAGCAGTATTTCCTCTTCCAGAAGCAGACAGCCGAGAAGCAAGAGAAGGGGTAGTGGACCGAAGGGAAGCTGGTCTAGCCCAAGACCAGGGCAAGGCTGCTACCACAAGGTCTTCAAGACACAGTAGAGCTCAGAGAAGTGAATTCAGAGTAGGCGAGCGAGGCCGTGGAGTGGGCCGTTTTCAGAGGAGCACCAAATACAGACTTATTGGGTAAGCCCCATGCCAGAGTTCCCTCATCCAACCACCTTGCTCCAACCCGGGGAGGAAACAAGGGAGAGCGGTCTTGGGTCTTACCTTGAGGACGCGTAGGGGCTGGCCAGGTGCTGCCAGGGCCGGGGGAAGGTGCACCGCTGTCTGCCCACAGTGTGCCACTTGGTACTGCAGGGGATTGTAGCCGCCTCGGCTGGTGCCTCGGGTACCCTCTGGCCCACGAGGCTCTTCCTTCACCGCCACAGCCCTGGGGTCGTAGCTCCCTGGGTTACCATAAATGCCAGGCCCCAAAGCCTTCCTATCTTGGCCAAATGTATGTGAGGGATAAGCAAATGGCCTAGGGTCAGCCGGCAGGTAGTGGGGGAACGAAGGAGTTCCTGGGCCCTTAAGGTTTCGGGCTTCAGGTGCTGGCTTCATGGCAAAGAGGTCAGAAAGTAACTGTTCTTCCCCAGACTCGATGTAGGCAGAGAGGTCGATGGAGGCCTCATGCTCACACATGTCCCCCAGCTCCCCGGGCCCAGCTCGACCCCCTGAGAACTCGAGTGGCTGCTGGCCACCCCGAGGCTCACACTCATAGTAGGTCCCGTGGGACATAGCCGTCCCGCCCCCTTGGCTCCCCGCCCCTGGGTTCTGTGCTGGGGCACTCCTTGGGATGCTCAGCCTGCCCTCTCTTGATCTCCCCCAGTCCTAGAGTTGCCCTAAGTCTGACCTCTCTGGTCTTTTCTGTCCCCCACTCCTATGTGGCTTCTCTCCTCCTCCTCTGCTTCCTTGTCCTTCTGTAGTCAGAGCCTCTCCTTTCTTCCCTTTTCCCCTCTCTCCTTGGTGTGAGTCAGGGAGGGGCAGGGCACACCCCAGAGGGAGGGGTGCTTAGCAGTTAGGGCTCTTTGGTGAGGCCTCAGCCACAGTCCAGAAGTTGCTGCTTGGGAAAATGTCCTTCTTGTCCTGTTAGCTCAAGGGATTCCAACCCCTTGTCCAGGGTAGCTCCTCTGAGTGTCAGTCTTCCTCCAGCTTCCAGAAAGATCTGTGCAGAGTAAGGCACCAAGCCATAGGCAGTAGAGAAAGCACTCCTCCAGTGCCAACTTGGTCTAAACTCCTCCCTTGACCCATCTTCCTCCCTGTCCCCCCAAGTCCTGAACTCCACCTACCCTGGAGTAAGTCAGTTCCTTCTGTAGCCCCACCTCCCACAGCATTCTCCTGGGTGTAGGCCATCATTGTGTGAGGGTTCTGGGAAGTCGTCATAGGTTCTAGGACCAAGCCTCCCCTGGCCCTAGCACAGGGTATGCTCATTTGCTAGTTTTGAGACAGGGCCTCTCTATGTAGTTCATGCTGGCCTCGAACTCACAGAGGTCTGCCTGACCTTGCCTCCAGAGTGCGGCTTTATTAAAGGTCTTTGGCTGGGTCTTTGTTCAGGGCTTGTGTATATGTTTCCCATCCTGGCTACCTCTGGCAGCCTACCATAGGCTGCCTGGACATGGCTGAGGTTTCTGGTCAGGACATGGGCCCTGAACCTCAGGCCCAGGCAGGCTGCTGCCCCAGAAAGGACAGACAAGATCCAATGGAGGCTGGGTGGCGCCGCCTTCAGTGAAAGAGGCTCAGACTGACCCTACCTCACACTGACTGGAGGCTCCGCCTCCTACTTCCTGTGCTCTGGGGAGCGAGCATTCAGGCTCTGGAGCTCACTGCAGCTTTGTTTGCTGTCTTTCCTTCTTCGTGACTGTTTTCTGACCTTTAGTGTGTGTTTCTCTGGTCCACTTCCTCTTGCAAACTTGAGAAGCCTTCTCTCTTGTCCTCACCTCTTCCTGAGGCTGCCTCTGGGTCCATAGGAGAAGCCCATAGCAGCCTGACTGTCCTCCATCAATGTACGAATCCCCAACTTTTCTTTTCCTTTGGGAATGCCCTGCTCCCTCCAGTCAGAGGTATCTGCTGGCTCTGCTTTTACTTCAGGCAGGGCTCTAGGTTTAGTGGCAAGGAAACACGTAGAGATGAGAAATGTGTTACTTTTCTTCCTTCTTTCTTTTTAAAATTAATTAATTAACTAATTAATTAGTTATTTTAGACAGGGTTTCTCTGTGTAGCCTTGGCTGCCCTGGAACTTGCTCTGTAGACCAGGCTGGCCTCAAACTCACAGAGATCTGCCTGCCTCTGCCTCCTGAGTGCTGGGATTAAAGGCATGAGCTACCACTGCTGTCTCCTTTTTATTTTCTTAGTCTGAGGCTCCCTATTTGCCTAGACTGGCTTTGAACTCTCAGTCTGCTGAGTTGACAGGTGGGTCATCACGCTTTCCTGGCTCTTTTATTACTAATATGCTTTGGGGAGAGGTACAGCATTTTTTTTAATGACTTTTTATTATTGTATATGTGTGTGTGCACATATGGGTATGTGCACACTTTGGGGTGCTCAGAAGATATCAGAAAGGTATCTGGCTTCTCAGGCAAACCAGAGATGTTACATCTCCTGGAGCTGAAATTACAGGCAGTTGTGAGGCACCCAATATGGGTGTTTGGAGTCAAACTCAGGTCCTCCGGGAGAGCAGTAAGTGCTCTTAACCATTGAACTACCTCTCCTGCCCTAAGAACGGAGCACTTTCTAAGTTGAGTATTCCAAAGGCTAGGTAACTGTGAGGGGTTACAACGGGAGTAAGCTTAGATAGCATACATATATCATTGAACACTAAAATAAAACTGCAAATGTAACTTTCTCATAAGTCAGACATTGTATCTTTGATAGAACCCTCCATCCCATCCTCTCTAATGCCACAATTTGCCCCACATGCTCTGAGCACAGCCTGAAGTATGGCCAAATATGCTTCCTCCAAAAGCTCTGGCCGAACAGGATGAGAGCCACTCGTATCCTAGACACAGAGCACCGGAAGTGGAGGGGATAATTTCTGCTCTTCGTTCCACAGGTCTCTGCCAAATAGCAAAGCTAAGAGATTTCAGATTGGTGACCTGTCGCTATTGGCCACTAGGTGACAGTATTGGTTCCTAAATTCTATACTTTCGGTACTGCAAGGGCTTGGAACCAGGTGGACAGAAGGGGGCAGCCTTTCTCAACCCTGACACCAGCCCAGAAAGCTCAGCTCTGGGAAGCAGGAAGAGGAGGTAGAATTGGGGACTTGAGTCAGATTGCAGATGGGGTGGGATAGGCTAGGGGATTGGTGCCAGAACCTGTCTCAAAGAGAAATTCTGTCCCCCTCCTTGACTGTGGAATAACGATAATGGGTTGGCCTGGTGTCGTCTGATAAATTAATGCTTTTTTTCAATCGATGGAGAGTGCACTTTTTCACGCTGATCATTTTTGCTTTGAGCTAAGTGGGGGAGGCAAAGCAGTATTTTTATCCCAATTTCATCGACAAGGAAAATAAGGAGGAGAGGCTGAACTATACACGAGCACAGGAGGATGTCTTGTTGATCTCGGAAAGGGCTGCAGGCTTGTTCTTGAAATGGTCCTGGGTCCAGAGGGATGGAGTGGGTGTTGTTATATGACTCAGGGAATCTTCTTCCACCAAGCTGGCTGCCAGGAGCAGGGGGAGAGCTTCAAGGAAGGGCCAAATTCCCCGCGGGAGGTGTACAGATACAGCCAGCAGGAAATGAGGAGGTCTGCAGCTTATGTCCCAGTGAAATAAGCCATGCAGGTGTCAGGACTGAAGGAGCTGGTGCTGCCTGTAGGCTGATAGCACCGTTTCCTAGTAACTGAGGGGTGGGTCTAGATAGGGAAGCCCAAGAGGGGGGCTGGGAAAGGAGGGAGTGAGGTGGGAAGGCAGAGCCACTGAAGACTGGGAGGTCCTTACTGGGGGAAGGGGCGCTTCCAAGCTCAGCGGGATCATTTTCCTGTTGCTACCGCAGTTGCTACTGTTTGCATTAACTAAAACAATGGGTGTATGTTATCTCAGTGACTTGTGACAGGACTCTCTCCAGGACTCCTCTGAGGCTTCCCCATAGGACTGTGAAGTCTCAAAGGAAAATGGGCTCAATCTGGTCTCTGTCACTCACCAGCTCTCTGACCCTAGCCAAGCTACTAATCGTTTTATAAAATGGCAGTAGTAATGCCTGCCTCACAAGATTGTTTAAACTTTGGAAGTGATGGCGTGTGTAAAGCCACAGACTCAGCGACTGAAAGCCGTCTCCTTCCTTTTTCCTGACCCCTCCACTGCTTTTACTCTGTCTCTGCAGCACAGGCTCCTGTGGCCTTGGTAGTTACATTGACAAGCATTTAAAAAATCTGGGTTTTAAATAGCAGAAAACCCATGCGGGTGTGGTGGTGCATGCTTCTAATTCCAGCATTTGGAGAGGCAGAAGCAGGTGGATCTCTATGAATTTGAGGCCAGCTTTGTTTTCATAGTGAATCTCAGGCCAGTCTAGGCTACATAGAGAGAAAACCCGGTCTCAAAAAGCCAAAGCAGCAACAATAACAAAGCCAAATAAGTTTGTATTTGTTTAACATTTATTTATTATTATTATTATAATTTTGAGATAGGGTTTCGTTGTGTAGCCTTAGCTGTATTGGGGTTCACTCTGTAGACCAGGCTTGCCTCGAACTAACAGAGATCCACCTGCTTCTACCTCTTGAGTACTGGGATTAAAGCAGTGTGCCATACCACCTGTTTACATTTATTTATTTTTAAATGTTTGCTTTGGTTTCTCTTTAGTGTTTCATTTTATTTTATGCATATGGGTCTTTTGCCTGCATCTGTCTATGCACTTCATGTGTGTAGTGCCTGTGGAGGCCAGAAGAAGGCTGTGGATCCCTTAGGAGTGAAGTTACAGAGGGTTGTGAGCTCCCATGAGGGTGCTGGAAATCAAACACCAGACATTAACAGCATTTAATAGTATTTCATAGCAGTTTTTAAATAAACATTTCAATTTAAATTCAAGACTTTAATCTATAAACTATTTATTTTGTCTTTGTTTTGAGGCAGAGTCTCTCTACATGTCCTTGCTGGCCTGAAACTTACTATATGGGCCAGACTGACCTTGAATTCACAAAAATCTGTCTGTCTTTTGCCTTCTGACTGCTGGGATTAAAGGTGTGCGCCATTATAACTGACCACCTTTTTATTTAACAGAGCAGATCTTCAGAGTATTTCTAGATGAGAAAGTAGTAAATGATTGTTGTGGGTAATTAAATACTTTGTTACTTTGTTTAAATGAAATTTAAGGCATTATTGACAGATGTTAATGCACTGTTTCAAGTGTTTGTCATGGCTCAAAGCACTGTCTGTAAGCACTGTCTGTTAATATAATGAGTCATAACCTGCATATGTCAGGTTAACATCAGCGGTAGATAATATGTAAGCTACATGGACAACATTTCCTTGTGAAACAGATATATGCTTGGTACTGCCTGCCTACAGGTCCACCATCTAGAGGTGGTCTGTGGTATGGCGGTGTGCTAGGTACCTCCTGTCAAATGAGGTGAGGACAATGAGTTGAGTGAGATGGTTCTACACTGGTGGATAATAAGACCTCTCTCTCTCTCTCTCTCTCTCTCTCTCTCTCTCTCTCTCTCTCTTCTGAGACAGGGTTTCTCTGTGTATCTCTGGCTGTCCTGAAACTCACTTTGTTGACCAGGCTGGCCTCGAACTCATAGAGATCCACCTGTCTCTGCCTCCCAAGTGCTGGGATTAAAGGCGTGCGCCACCACTGCCTGGCTTATATCTCTGTTAATTTTTTGAGATTATAATGACATCATTTTCCTCCTTCCCCTTCCTCTGCCCAACACTTCCCATACACCTTTCCCTTGCTCTCATTCAAACTCATAGCCTCTTTTTTCTTTTTTTATTTGTTGATCTATATATCCCTACATGAATACAACCTACTTAGCCTGTACAATGTTATTTGCATGTATGTATTTTAAGGGCTGACCATTTGTTATCAGATAACCATTGTTGTGCTCTTCTCTGGGGAAGACTGTTTCTCCACTTCTCAGCCTGTCTTGGTTGCTTGTAGTTCTTTTGTCTAGGGTTGAAACTTCATGAGCTTCCCCTGCCTTGTTAGCATGTCTATTGGGGTCATCCTTATTCAGGTCATGTTTAGACAGCCATGTTGGTGAGACTTGATGGGTGCAGTCTCTGAGACATTTCTAGGAGACAAATTCTCATAGCAAACTTCGTGTTTCTCTGGCTCATACAATCTTTCCAGCCTCAGTCTTCCACAGTGATCCCTGAATCTTAGGTGCAGGAATTATATTGTAGAAGTAGCAGTTGGAACTGGGCTTCAGAAGTCCTCAGTTTGATTGGTTGTGTTTTTTCTGTAATGTCTTATAAAGAAAAGTTTCTCTGATGGAGAGGAAGGTATAGGGGGACAAATATTTAGAAGGTAGTTAAGGATTATACTGATTTAGTAAAGTGGTTGTTGTAGGTTCTTCTCCAAGATCCACAACTCCACTAGTCCCTGATAGCTGGCTAAGTCTCCAATATCAGGAATGATTTCTCTCTTGTTGAGTGGGAATTACTTTTTCTTTTTAGACTTTTAAATTTGATCTTATGTATCTAGGTGTTTTGCTTACATGCATGTATGTGTACCATGTATGTACCTGGTGTCAATGAAGGTCAGAAGAGGGGTCTGATCCCTTGGAATTGGAATTAGGGGTGGCTGAGCAACCATATGGGTGCTGGAAACTGAACCTAGGTTCTCTGCAAGATTAAGTGCTCTTAACTACTGAGGCATCTCTTTGTCCTACATTTATTTTAGAGAGAGTTAACGTCCCTCTAAATTGTCAGGCTTGGTGGTAAGTACCTTTATCATTGGAGTCATTTCACTGGCTCTAGTTTTACCTTTTTAAAAAACCAAACAAACAAGCAAAAACAGGAGCTCATGTAGCCTAGGCTGGCCCCAAATTCACTATGAGCTGAAAATGACTTTGAACTCATTGATCCTCCTGCAGCTCTCTTCCAAGTAGGATTATAAGCATGTGCCACCATGCTTATCACCATCTTGACAACCTTTTTTTTTTCTTTTTTAGAAGTAGGGTTTCTCTGTGTAGCCCTGGATATTCTGAAATTCACACTGTAGACCAGGCTGGCCTTGAACTCATGAACATCTGCCTGCCTCTGCCTCACCAGTGCTGGGACTAAAGGTGTGTGCCACCATCACCCAGCTTTGACAGCTTTTTAAATTTTATTTTTCCAAACGCATTTTGAGCACAAAAGCACCAGGTAGTGTACAGGCTCTGGAAATAGTTTCACCAGACCCTGCCAAGGGAATCTCATGGTCCAGACTGGGAGCCCCACAGGGAGGTGGTGTTAATATGCAGTGGATGGACAGAGAGATGGGCCAACTACATTTACGTTTGTGAGTCACGTTCATGCCCACTACTCTCAGAGGCCAGAGAAGGTGCTAGATCTCCTAGAATAGGAGCTATAGTTGCCATATGTGAGCTGGGAATTGAACTTTTGTCTTCTGGAAGAGCAACTGGTGCTTTTAACTGCTGTGCCATCTCTCCAGCCTGCACTTTAAACTTTTGATTCAATTTCCAAATGCTAGGATTCAACCACCATGCCCTTCCTTCCTTCCTTTCTTCCTCCCCCTCCTTCCCTTCTTTTCTTTCTCATTTATTTATTTGTTTGTTTGTTTATTTATTTATTTCCTTTCCCGTGGTGGTACCTGGGATTGAATCCAGGGGCCTCATGCATGCTTGACAAGCATTTTACCAACTGGGCTACACCCCCAGCTCCATTTTGCTCTTTGAGAATAGACTGAGATACTTTGTTTTAATCTTTCCTATCTATGATGGTGACTGTTTTAATTTAAAAAGCAGTGTGAAAGAGAAAGATGCCTCTGAGAATGACAAGTTTTCAGACTGTCTGTAGTAAAGACAGCCTCAAGCAGGAGTTTGATACCAGGCTAAGACTTGGAGTGGAGGTGCCTGTGCCTCGGTTTCCCAGATAGTGAAGGGCAGTGTCTCCTTCTCCCCACAGGTCCTGGGTCTGCCAGCAGAGCTGGCTCTGGAATAAAGGTGACCCAGGAGAGGCTGCTGGAAGGCTGCCTGGAGAGGAGGGCAGAAGCAAGGACTAGGTCCAGTCCCATCAACTTTTCAAAGCACTAAGAGATCCCTAGCTGCCCAGGAACTTGCTACAGAGATCAGCTAGCCTTTGCCTCTTGAGTGCTGGAATTAGAAGCACATGCTACCATGACTGGCAAATATGCTGTTTTTTTTTTTTTTTTTTTTTTTTTTTTTTTAATGAATTCTAAAAAACATTTTGAGGGGCTAACTTTAACTCAAGTTAGATCCCTGAAACCCACATGGTGGGAAGAGAGAACCAACTCCTGCAAGATGTTTGCTGACCTCCATACCTCTGCTGGCACGCACGCACGCACACATATACACATACACACACATAAAAACAAATCTCCAAGTAAGCACATAAGGTGACCTTAACTCCTCCTTTTGCCTAGTCCTGGCCCAGGAGTCACCTTTATCTTCCTCCTAGCAACTACGCTCGAAGGTGTTTCTGCTTAGCTGGGTGAACAAGCCTCACCTTCCAACAGGCTCCCTGGACCCCCTGGGGCTCTCTCCACAGTGCACAAAGCCTTTACTGCCAGATTTGAGGCATCATCACCATTTTTGCCTGGTGCTGTTCCCTGGCCTAGATGTCAATGTTGGAGAGTGACAACCTCTACTTTCTACTTTTCAGAATTTCAGGATGGTACAGAGTGGGAACTCAGCAACCCTTCAGGACTCCACAGAGGTAGTTGTCAGAGGGCAGGCTCTGTGTCCCTGGCCCAGCTCAAAGATATGGCAATCAAGGCTTTTAGGAATGAAGGTCTGGAGGAACCTGGCAACCAAAGACGTCTGGATTAACTAAAAATATCCACTGACTTTGATTCAGAAGTCATCTGATTTTTTTCTTTTTCTTTTAAAGATTTATTTATTTATTATGTATACAGTGTTCTGACTACATGTATCCCTGCACACCAGAAGAAGGCACAGTTCTCCTTATAGATGTTGTGAGCCACCATGTGGTTGCTGGGAATTGAGCTCAGGACCTTTGGAAGAGCAGCCAGTGTTCTTCACTGCTGAGCCTACTCTCCAGCAGTTCCTCCCCCACTTTTTCTTTTCTTTTTTGAGACAGGGTTTCCCTGTGTAACAGCCCTGGCTGTCCTGGAACTCCCTCTGTAGACCAGGCTGGCCTCGAACTCAGAGATCTGCCTGCCTCAGCCTCCTAAGTGCTGGGACTAAAGGCGTGCACCACCACCGCCTGGTGGTCATCTGCTTGTTTACATCATCACTCCATTTCCATTTAAAATTTTATTACTTGAAAAGAAAACACTCCACAAAACAAACCAATAAAACTTAAACCTAAATGAACGCAGTGACAGATAATTAAGGTTCTAGCTCTGCCCCCGAAACCACCAAACATTAAAAAATCCGAAAGAAATAGAAATGACAGCTTCAAAAATATTTATCCAAAAAGTAAGGCATCCACTTAAAAAAAATAATAATTCAAGGAGGGAGTGGGTAGAGGCTGGAGGAATGAGAAGAAAGGGATTGAGGGATGGTCCCTGGTCTCCCAGAGGCCCCACAGCCAGCCTGGACTGTGCTCTGAAGGGCCATAATTCAGCCCACACCCAGGCTCCTGCCCATTAGGGGTTAGGTGAGCTAGGTGAGAAGTTAGGAGACTTGACATGGGCCAGGCAAAGACCCTGGCATTTTCCAGTTTGAGGAGATGGAATTGGGGTTGGGGTCCTGCTTTATGATTAAAGGATCCTGTCCCTAGCAGAGCAGCTGTGGGGGCTGCCAGGACAAGGCAAACACTGTTACCTTCTGGGAGAGCACAGGTTAGCAACTCTCATGGAAATGTTTTCTGAGGTCTGTCTCCAAAGGGAGTGCCATCTGTCACTGACCTTCCATCTTGCCCCAAATGGGATGGCAGGATGGTGGAGGGATCTTTTGAGTTGGGGAAGGTGAGAGGAACTAGCCTTCAGAACACCCCCCACTCCAGCATGGTCTCCCCAGAGTGAGGGTTGAGCACCTCTGGGGAGGGGAAGCAACCTTCCTTCCAGGGAAGGAATTTAATACCAGGACTGCCCTGAAGGGTAGAACTAGGGAGCATTTTTAGGCTCAGTTCTTGGATGGGAGATGACTTAAGGCTGGTTTGACTCTTAATTTCAGGCCCGAAGGGCTTGGTTTCCTGCCTGGTCCTTGAGCCAAGGTCCAGGGGGAGAAAAATGGTGAGGGTGGCCAGCAGTGCTGTGGGTGGGAAGAGCTGCTGAGATGGTAAGACAGCCACCTCACACAGGAGAGGAGGTGTAGCTTTGCCCTTTAGAGAGAGATAGATGTCTATTAGACTGAACTTAAGAAGTCTTTCTGGCTTCGGGGAGCTTTGGCACCACAGGGGGACAGGAGGCAGGGGCAGGGGCAGGGGCAGGGCTTGACTTCTACAGTCCGAGCCTTTCCTGTGTATTCCACAAGCTTGGTTTAGAGTTGGGGATAGGGTGGTCCTCCTTCTTGGTCCTTAGCTCAGTGGGGAGGAGGCATCCTGAAAGGGAAGTTTCTGGGCATGTGGCCCAGGCTGGGCAGTGGAGTGGTAGTGGTACAGGGTAGAGAGGTGAACCCTCTGCCTTTTGGGTCCCTGGTGAGTGAACAGGCATTTGAGTTTCTCCAGCTGACGGTGAGTGGTGACACTTGTGTTTGAGTTGCCTTCCCCAACCAACTCATGGTGGCTGCTACCTCCTTCCCAACCTGGGCTCAGAACTAAGGAGAAGAAGTAGCAGTGAATCCAGGTTTCATAGAGGCACCTAAAGGGCATGGGCCCAGGAGGGAGGGGCTTGCAAGGGTACCCATGGCACCTTCATTCTCCTCTAACACTTGGAGTGTGTGCAGGCCCCTGGTACACTGCTGACCTTAACCATGGGCCTTGGGGCTAGAAGCAGGTTCTTTGGGTACAAAGGTCAGTGTCTTTGTTTAGAACTTGTCACCGTGGACACCCAGATCTTGCTCCTGCCTGACAGAAGTCAGAAGTATAGGTGTGTGTGTGTGTGTGTGTGTGTGTGTGTGTGTGTTTGTGTGTGTTGCGGGGACCTAGGCAGGGATGTAGGGCAGAAAGGATGAAGGAGGGAGTGGTCAGTCAAAGGGATGGCTGTCCTCAGGGCTAGGGCTGTTCCTCTGAGTCCTGGTCCTTGACGGGAGTAGGCTGGAAGATGGGCTTCTGCTGTTCCTCCTCCATGTCATCAGCTGCTTCCTCTGTCCCTGAATCCCCCTCCACCTGGGGATACACGACCACACACATCTTCTGACTCACTAGGGTTAGTGATTCTGTGGGAGGAAACAATATAGAAACCAGGTCATTGCTCGGTAGGCTGCCAACCCCACAGACGGACAGTCTCTGGCCAGTTCTCCCACCTCAGCTTCTGCCCCAGAATAGCCAGTGACTTTTGGAGACTGGCTTGCCCATGTCCTGCATTTTCTGATGGTTCCCTCTTGTTTACCAGACTCTAGCCTTCCCCTAGACTCCCTGACTCTCACTGACTCCCTGCCTCCATTTCCAGAGTCTCTACTGGTCACCAGTTAGCCTGTAGTAGTAGAACTGGTAGATGGGGGGAGGTAGCCTGAGCCGGGTCTGTCTGGGGATGCCAGCTGGTCTTTGGAAGACATCTGTCATCTGTCATTTCTGGCCCTGAATCAGGAGCCCTATGGACTCAAGTGAAGGTAATTCTTGCCTTCCTGACTCTGGTAGGGCTCCCACATTAGATTGCATGTATATTCCCAAGAGGCCCCCTCTCTAGCCACCACTTACCAATGAAGTCATTGAAACACTTGGGTTTGTGTTGCCAGTAGACACCCAGGAAATAGACAGGTACCCCTGTCAGCATGATAGCCAGGCCAATGCCGCACACCACTGGCTCTGACCACAGGCTGAAGATCAGCAGGAAGGCCCAGAACAGCAAGTAGGTGATGGGGAACAGCAGACTGATCTGTGGGACAGAAGTACTGTGAGTCATGTGGCTTCTAGTGTCCCTCGGGATGAGGGGGCCCTCTCTCTTCTTCATCCTCATCCTTGAGGGCAATGGCTGAGCTTCACTCAGCTCTGTGTCCCAGACTTTAGGCTCTTATAGGCACTATATCAGCAGATGTTGGTGAAATCAGGCAGTGGGACAGGGAAGTAAGGATCTTTATTGTTCAGGTCCCTCCCAGGGGAGATCAGATAAGACCTCATGACTCATATAAGTGCCTGTGGCAGCCAGAGAAGCCCAGGGGATTGAGAAGCTTGTCAGGATGGTCCTCGGGTGGGGGAGAGGTGGGAAGATCTGCTTTGGCTCCTATCTTCACACCCACTTCTAGGCTAAGCCTCATCTGGATGCATCACAGTGATGGTCATCCCCTCACACTAGGATCAGCCTCAATTTATTTTGCTCAAGCAATCAGAGAAGAGAAAACTGCTTAGTCCCAGGAAGCCCACAGGACACAAGGCAGCCTAGGACCTGGGTTGTATTTTGTCCAGAAGGAAACATCAGCTCCACAGGTGTGGCTTCTTGCTGACTGCATGTGAGCAGCACCTTAGAGGACTCTTCCTGATCCAGGGCAGCTGCTCAAGCTGCCTGCCTCCCTTTATGCTCCTCTCAGAATAGGGAGAGGACTTTATCTACCTCTCCATTCCTCCAGGAGGTTTTCAAGGAGTCGGAGAAAAGTGGCAGTGAAAATATCAGAGAGATCTAGAGAGTCCTTCTTTCTCAGACAGAAGAATCTTCTAGAAGTACCTTGTTTTTAGAAAAGGAATCTCAAATATTTCTAGATTATATTCAGTTGCAAGAGAACTTTGCTCTCCAGTACACCTTGTTTTGAGCAGTCTCAGAACAGACAATATCAGGGTTTTTTTTTTTTTTTTTTCAGTAGCAATCACTAAATTCATTGAGTCTCCTACTGTGTGTGTAGTCTCGGAAGCTTGAAAAGCAAGGGCTGTAGACATAGACTGGAAAGCTTCAAGAAAGAGGAGGTACTTGAGACCCGTTTGGCCATCAGTTAGAATTTAAACAAGCAGACAGAGGAGACTCACTTTGGAACAGAGACATAGTTAGTGAACTGTGCAATTGGAGGAACAGATAAGAGAACCCTGAAAAGCACCCAGAGTGTAAGATTTGAGTGAAGAGAGGAGATGGCTGTCGCATGCACACATGACCAAGAGCCACAACGATTCAAAACCTGCATCACATTGGCTGCAGTGGAGAAGGGAAGGGGCTCCTCTCACCTTGATAGGCCGGGGGATATCAGGCTTCTTCCAGCGAAGGACTATCTGCCCTGCAACCGTAACCCCGTAGAAGAGGTAGTTGATGAAGCCCACATAGTTGATGAGTGTGTACATGTCACTGGTGACCAGCATCAGCAGTGTGGAGAGGCACTGGAGAAACGAGAGTGGAGGAAGGAGACTGGGGGGCACCTTCCCGGGCTCGGGGATGCTCTGCCCCTCTAGGCCAGGTGAGCTGTTTCACAGTGGCCATCCCAAGAGGGGGACGTCACAGCCACCTAAAGTAGTCTAGGATGGACTATACCTTTATTGTCAGGAACTTCTTCTGGCTTTTTTGAGATAAGGTCTCTCCAGCCCTGGCTGTCCTAGAACTTGCTATGTAAACCAAGTTGGCCTCAAACTCAGAGATCTGCCTGCCTCTGCCTCCTGAGTGCTCGGATTACATGTGTGGGCCACCACTTCTGGCTAAGGACTTCTTTCTTCTTACAGGAGTAAAATCAAAGTATGTAACCACTGTTACAGAGTAGGGAGTAGCCATTCAGAATGGATTCCAGGATTGGCTATACTGGCGTGAGTAGGCTCTGGGCAGACCCCATCTCACCATATTCACTTTTGATTATGGCTCAAGCTAATTTTTTTCCTCTTTGTTCTTTTGACCCCATAGGGAGATCAGTAAGGCTTTATTCTTATTATTATCATTTCCTCTTGGCTGAGTAATCTAATTTACTCTTCTCTTTTAAAAAATGATTAAATAGCCAGTAGATGGTGGTGTACACCTTTAATCCCAGCACTCGAGAGACAGGCAGGTGGATCTCCATAAGTTCTGAGGACAGCCTGGTCTACAGAGTGACTGGCTAGCCAGGGCTACGCAGAGAAACCCTGTCTTGAAAAATCTAGGGGAGGGGAGATTAAACAGTAACATATCCTAACATAAGCCAGATTCTTAGCATTCTACAAATACAAACTCATTTAAGTCTGTAAACATCTGACATGCAATCCCGTGGGGGTCTCGACCCACAGGTTGAGAACTGATGCTCCAAATGATTCTGCTTTTTTCACTCCATTTCTTTCTCCCACGTTCAATTTATGAGTTTTCCTGTCTGTAACTTTTCTTATCACCTGTGCCCTGAACTAGATTTAATTTGATGGCATTTTCCAAGAGGCTGACAGGGTATGCTAGGGCAGGAAGTGGGGGGGGGTAAGGGTGACCATGTGCAGTGACCAGCTGAAGCCGAGGCTCCACGCTGTACCCTCGTGGTAACAGGGGCCAGTAAGACCAGCGGCAGAGACATGTATCCGTGAGGCTGTGGTATCCCAAGGCTTTTTAGTCTGACTCAATAGGACAGGAGACTGAAAATGAGCCAGCCTGAGAGCTGTGGGTGTTTTAGCCTGGGATTGTTTCTAATTATATCCCTTGACATTCATAGAGCATTGGCTGCACGTGCAAGCTTAGCTAGGGCTTACTGAAATGCAGAGCTGGACCAGAAGGGGGGACAGGTAGGTGTGTGTGTGTGTGTGTGTGTGTGTGTGTGTGTGTAGGGGCCCTTACTGTGAATAGCAGTGCTGGGATTGGGGTGCAGCGCTTCACGTGGATCATGGCTAATACGCTGGGAAGGTGGCCTTCTCTGGCTCCAGCGAAGAACAGCCTGGCAACGAGAAAAGTAGGTCAGCCTGGGATAGCCTGTGCGCTCTCACCCATGCCCACCTGTGGCCTACACAGTGGCCCCCTCCACCAGCCAGGACCTGCCTTTGTGTCACCCTTTCCAGCCCACTAAATCACAGGACCTATGTTCACAAATGCAGGCACAGGCAGACCAGAGGCAGCCAATGGGTAGGTGGATGGATATTGGTCATGTCAACACTGAGAGTACGTCCCGAGTCACTCCCATGTTTCAAGGCTACAGCTTGTTCAGCTTCTCTGCCTTTAATTTTTATTTTTGGTTCTTTGAGACACATTCTCATGCGGTCTATGTGGTCCTGAACTTCCACATAGTGAAGACAGGCCTGGGATTCCTCCCGCCTCCATTTCCTGAATACTGTAATTAGACCTATCCCTTTACCTGGCTGTGTTTCTCCTTTACAGGAGAACCTTCTGACCCTCAAGGGCTATTGATTCCCAGGCACGCAGCTCTGAGCTATCTGTGCAACGCTTAAAAAAATCCTTATCATAGTCAGAGACTAGCTGTTTTGTGAGGATGGAGAAGGGCCATGGGCTGGAAAAGGACAGGTGGGAAGCTGGGAGAGTCAGTAAAAGTTCTAGAGTTATCTTCTATAACTGCCACAACTTATCAAACACACTTAAAATTTGTGCGGTTTTCCGTATATGCATTGTACTTAAAATTTATACCCTTAGAACTATTTATTCTATTTCCAAGAAGCCATCTTTAGAAAGAGAGAGAGAGAGGTACTGAAAGGTATGTACACAAAAAGGCTCTAGCAGTGAGCCAAATTGCAAATGTCCTCAATGCTTAAAATTCTGAGAGTAGCTAAAGAAATTAGGATAAATGTGTAATTTTGAAGTAAAGAAAACTCATATTTTTTTAAAAGATTTTCTCTATTTTTGTTTCATGTGCATGAGTGTTGGTCTGAATGTATGTCTGTGCACCATGTACAAGCAGTGTCAGTGGAGGCCAGAGGAAGGAGGCAGATCATTACAGATGGCCCAGCAGTGTCAGTGGAGGCCAGAGGAAGGAGGCAGATCATTACAGATGGCCCAGCAGTGTCAGTGGAGGCCAGAGGAAGGAGGCAGATCATTACAGATGGCCCAGCTGCTGTGTGGGTGCTGGGAGTTGAATCTAGTCCATCTCTTCAGCCCTCAAAATCATGTTTCTGAAGAAAATGATTCTGTCAGCGCATGCTCACAATATAACGGCAAACAAAAATGCAGAATACAACACTGTGATCCTGAGCTGGGTGTGATTGCATGTGCCTTTGAACCCAGCACACCAAACCTGAGGGAGTGGATTTCCAGTTTGAGGCTGGCCTTATATGAGACTCTGTCACACAAATGGGGAGGGGACTGGCGGGCTGGCTCACTGGTTAAGAGCACTTACTGCTCTTGCAGAGGAGCTGGGTTCAATTCCCAGCACCCACATGGTGGCTCACAACCACTTGCAATGCCAGCTCCAGGGGCACCTGACACCCTCTTCTGATTCTGTGGGTGCTAGGCCTGCACATGCTGCACAGACATATGTGCAGGCAAAGGACATATATATTAAAAGGTAATAATCTAATTATTAATTTAAAAACTGGGGGTAGTTATACACCCTTAAGAGGGGAAGGAGATAGTGGGGAGGACAGAGAGAGACAGAGACACAGCCCCACAGAGAGGATAACATGAAAGTGGCCCCTTCCTTCTTTTCTCTTTTTGCTTCTTCCAAACAAAACCAAACAACCCACCATGGCCAGCAGTCCTTTACTTATTACCATTGATAATCTGTTTTCTTTAAAAGTTTTACTTTCGCTTATTTACTTGTTTGTTTGTGTATGTGAATGCTGTCTATGGCATACTTGTGCAGGTCAGTTGTCCCTTTCCACCCTGTGAGTTAGGTTCCCGGGGTCAAACTCAGGTCATCAGGCTTGGCAGTAATGACCTTTACCTGCTGAGTCCCCGGCTTTACTCTTCTCTAAGGCAAGTGGCTGCCAATGGGAGAGGAAGGGGGTAGTGGGACTGACGGTACACAGGCTATTGCTGTATGTAGCCCAGGCTGGCCTGGAAGTCTCGGCCTTCTTGACTTAGCCTTCTGAGGCCTGGTGTCAGAGGTATGTGCTACGACACCTGGTACCGACTAGGGACTCTGAGACCTGCCACTCCATGCTTCGTATACAGTAGCAGCTCAGAAGAGTGGGAGCTGACTGTGACTCCGAGTCCCCATACACAGCTTTCACCATGAGCTGTTCAGGCCAGCTTCCCTAATTTCATGCAGACACATGCAGCCCCTCCCTTCTTCCGTGCTATGGTCTTTTCCAGCCAGCCCAGTGTCATGCACTAGACCGAGCCTAGGGGACTCTGTGGGCTCCATCGTGCACATAGCCAGGCTCTAGTTCACACCCTCCTCCCGTACAACCAGGACCAAGTGTAATTGTCCAGGCCTAACAGCCCCATGTCAGGTTCACAAGCTAGGGGACAAAGGAGAGTGTGATGGCACTAAGTAAAACACACACACACACACACACACACACGTGCACACACTCACACACACATGTGAATGTACATGCACACACTGCTTGCTCAGCAAGGACCATCTAAATTCAAACTAAGACATAAAAGAATGAAAGAGAGGAGGGGAGGGAGGAAGAAAGAAGAAAGTCGTAGGTGAGCAGAGGTGGCCTGGGAAGGGAGGCCATGCCCCTGGCATCTCCTGCATGCACACACGACTATGCTACATGCATGCAGACCACTGTGTGGCCTGCCTGAGGGACAAACCCCAAACTAAAGCGACTGTAGCCAGCCACTGTCCTCCAACAGACCCCAGGGAGCCTCTTGGGTCACTGCTCTTCACTGCTTGCCCTCTGCTAGGGCCTCCGGGTGGCCACGGCTCCTGTGTAACATGCACACGAGGTTGCTAGGGGTGAGTGTGCGTCCTCCTCTTTATTGCTCTGGATCCTGAAAACATGGAAGTCTCTGTCATCTCACAGGAACTTCTCTGTGATGTGACAGGTGGCTTGGGAAGCAGCCGAGCCCAGACCTCATCTTTTGAATAGGACTGTGCTCCTAGGACACAGAAAAACCTATGGGCCACACAAATGGTAACCCTTCGACATTTGTACATCCAGCGGCCCATTCTAGATATGTCAGGAAGGAACATAAAATAGGGGCCTGATCCCTGGATAGGCAGAGGCAAGGCTCTAGGGCCCACTCATTCCTGGCTTCCCAAGGAATTCTGGGTTGAGGTTGTGGCTACCGGCTCTCTCAATGATAAAAGTTTCCTTTCTCCTCTTCCCTATCCAGCCTGTGGCCTTCCACAGCACCTGCCTCTTGAGAAGGGAGAGCATAGGGATCTCATCCTAGGTGGAGTCTGGGTCCAGACATTTTTGAGAGGACAGAGGCTTCAAGCATAAGATCCTCCCAGGTCCCTTTCAAAGTAGGGTTTCTTCTGAACAGTAGTTGATAAGAGGGGAAGGGGACTCTAGGAATGTAGCCAAGATACAATCCTGCTGCCTAAACAAGGTGGGTTGCCACCTGCACACCACATATTGTAAGCATCAGACCCCCCCTTAGCACACACTCTGACATGCATACTCCTACAAAGCCACTTTCAGGAGGTTGCACAGACCCCTGCTGAAGACAAATCAATCAAATACACACAAAGCAACAGACAGAAAAGTGGCCCAGGAAGGGCCCCATCAAGCACTCACCTGGAGGAGGTGAAGAGTGAGCCATTGACTCCTCCGAATGTGGACAGGGCAACGGAAATGGGCATGATCCAAGCCATGACTCCCAGAAGCTTCTCTCCAAAAGTCTAGGGAAGAAAACAAGAAGTGAGTGTTTGGAAAGACGTAAGAGCCCTATTCCAGCTTGCTCCTCACTTCTGGAGTGCCTGTCTCCCATCTAACCTGCTGATTCTCTCTGAGAACCAGAGTCCAGACTACCATGAAGAAGGAACAGCTACACCTCGGGAACACATGCTGTGGGCTAATTAACTGAGAGTCCAGAGTATGGTGGTGATAACAGCAGTGAACACTTATCCTTCGTTATGAATGAGGAAACTGAGTCCCTTAGTGATCTACAGCTTACCTCTCAGATCATACACTGGGGCAATGGAGGGGCCAAGATTGGAGGCCAGGTGCTGTAAGTCCAGCTTGATACACTATGGAGTTCTCTGTACATGGAGGTGCACAGACTTAGGAGTCAGATCTGAATCAAATCCTAGTACCACCTTGAAAAAGGCTTTGTGTGTGTGTGTGTGTGTGTGTGTGTGTGTGTGTGTGTGTGTGTGTGTGTGTGTTAGGGGGTCCTCACCTACATATATTCATACAATTTAGGGGACCAGCCTTTTCTGGAGTCTCTGAGCCAGTATGAGCCTGGGAGATGATATCTAGAGTAGATGTCCTGCTGTGCATGGGAGATTGTGGGATTTAGGAACAGGAGAGGGCAGGACATCTTTATTTTCAAAGATGAGACAAGTGATGACAGAGTTTGGTCTGAGGCTAGGTGAAGGTATACATGGCTCCTAGGCCTACCTCAGATGCTAGGTACCTTGTGATCTCTTTGCCCAAAGAGCGTAGTCACTCTGATTTCTGAATAATTTACTGGTGTGTGTGTGTGTGTGTGTGTGTGTGTGTGTGTGTTGCTGAGGATGGAACACGGGGCCTTGCACATGCTAGGCAAGCACTCCACCACAAGGACCTTCAATATCCACTTTTCCCTGAGGAGAGCAATCAGTTTGCATGACTCCCAGAGAAAGGACAGAGAATCTGTATGTCTTGTGCAAGCATATGTCTCTGTGAAGAGCAGTCTGTCTTCTTACATAACCAGAATGCTTAGAGTACCCTAGATCAGGAGTCAGTGAACTTGTTCTGTAAAACATTAGATATTTCAACACCAAAAGCCATATAGACTCTGTGGCAACTTCTCAGGTAGCCATGGTAGCTGTTTTGGAACTAAACCAACTATTGGTTTGCTTCCAGGCACTTGAAGATACCCTGTGAAGGACACATGTATATTTGACCCTGAGGAGGTGGAATGACTTTCAGTTCCATGAGGCACTGGACCAGAGGAAAGCAAGTGGGCTAAGTTGGCAGATCAACATCAGTGTTCTGGGTCTGCGACCCAGTGTAATTTCTTACCACGGCGACTGCATTTGAGGCCAGCAGCTCCTGGGGGGACATTGCAGTGACATACGCGACATTGGCAAAGACATACACAAATGTGACCAGTGGGATGGAGATGAAGATGGCTCTGGGAAGGTTCCTGTAGAGGGAGAGGAGGTGATAGGGAAGCCCATACCAGGGATGTGTTCTGCTAGGGGACGACATGAGCCTAGACTTGCAGCTTCTTGGCCCTTCCTCTCTCTGGGAGGTAGGCTTTGGTTTTGACTCAGGTAGGGCAGGATTATTTAGAGGAAATAGAACAGCTTAGACTACTTATCACTTCTTGACTTAAATCTGGACCATGCATGCCAGGCTGGGCCTGGCTCCAAACAGATACAACTCTGAGACCTCTCAGGACAACTCCTTTTTCTCTACAGCCACCACACTGGCCTGCACAGCTTTCTGATTCTTTTCTTCTTTTTTGGTTTTTCAAAACAGGGTTTCTCTATGTAGCCCTGGTTGTCCTGGAACTCATTCTGTAGACCAGGCTGGCCAAGAACTCACAGAAATCCGCCCGCCTCTGTCTCCTAAATGCTGGGATTAAAGGCATGTGCCACCACTGTCTGGCCCAATTTTCCAATTTTTTACTTGTCCTGGGACAGCCATAGGACCTTTTCTCTTCTCTTAGCAAGGTGGACAGTAAATGGTTTAAATTCCTGGGAAATGAACTGTTCCTTCATGGAAGAACAGGACAGGTCCAAGATAGGGGTAAGAGGTGGATCTATGTTCCCTTTTCCCAGCAATGGGCACTGTGTAGCCTAAGGTGACCAGAAGAGATGGACTCTTTGACTCACTTGTAAGGGTCCACAAGCTCCTCAGTCACATAATTAAGAAAGTTCCAGCCTCCATAGGCAAAGGAACCTTGGAGGAAAGCCAGAGCGACGAGGCCGATGTCAGGTTCTTGGAAATTCTCAAATGCATTCTTTGGCTCCAGCCAAAAGAATTCTCCTGTGAATACAACAGGCAGGAGGCTGCTTAGAAAAGTGAGCCCAGGCTAGCCCCTGGCCACCCCGTGTGTTGTCTCACCCTCCCCTGTGGTGATATACCTGCTCCCTGTCTGCTCTTAAGCAGAGCAAAGAGGAGTAGGGAATTCAGGTCCAGGACTTCTCAGACCCTGGCACCTCAGAACCATGTCCAAACAAGGGTTCAGATTCAAGGCACACCTCAGAATGTCTTTTTTAATTTTTATTTTATTTCAGTTTTGGTGTTTTTGAGACAGGGTTTCTCTGTAACTGCCCTGGATGTCCTGAAACTCAGTCTGTAGACCAGGCTGGCCTTGAACTCACAAATATACCCCTGCCTCAGCCTCCCGAGGGCTGGGATTAAAGGTGTGTGCCACCATTCCTGGAAGAATGTAATTTCTAAAAAGGTAGTATTATGTGAAGGAAAGTTTATATAAAAAGTGAGGCTAGCGTCAATGACAGTCTTTTTGACTACTTTCCTTAATATATGATTTGAGTTTTCATGAAGAAAGCCTAAGGAACAACAGACACTAGAATGTAAGCTTACACAGGTCTCTAGTGTCCAGTCAGTTCGAGCATATTTTCCTTGCTTTGTCTACAGCCCCTCACTTCCTAAGGGATATCTGGTCTCCTTCTGGGTCCTTTAGTGAAGAGCCTTTAAATGGCCTTCCCAGTATTTACAGTGTTCAGAAACTGTGGACACTCAAAAAAAAAAAAAAAAAAAAAAAAACTTGGGGGGGTGGTGTTGGGCTGGAGAGATGGTTTAGCACTCAGAGCACTTGCTGTACCAGCACAGGACCCAGGTTTGATTCCCAACAGCCATGCCACATGGTGGCTGGAAACCACCTGAAACTCCAGTTTCAGATGATCCAACAGTTTTGCGGGCACTAGGCATGCACATGCCACACATATACATGTGCAGGCAAAACACTCACACACATAAAATAAAATAAATGTATAAAGTATTTTAGTTTTTTTGTTTGTTTTGTTTTGTTTCTGGGCTGAAGATGTAGCTTTGTCGTAGAGCATTTGCTCAGCAAGTGCAAAACCCTGGGTTTAACACACACACACACACACACACACACACCACATATTCCCCACAGCTCTTGACTAAAAAGGTTGGGATAAAGCAGAGTAATTGGCTGTGTTACTTAGACATCTGTAACCCATCATTAGGACAGGAAACCAGGAGAAAGAATTGAGATCAGGTTAGGAAGGATTCATTATCTTTGAAAAGATAGGACAATGTTTCTTAAGCCTAGATTCCTGAAGACAATACCCCCTTCCCCAAGGGCTTAACCCAGTTGATAAAACCATCAAGGGCAGTATCTAGCGGGAACTATTGTCTGTGGGGTCTCTACTCTGCCTTCAGAGCTTGTGGTCAGACAGGAGGTGCTCCTGTTGTCATTTCATTTTCTCCAAGAGGCAGTGACGCTGTGCAGAGCCCAGCAGTGCTGTGGGTCCCATGGAAACCAAATACAGATCAAATCCAGTGGGGAATGTTGGCAGAGGCTTCAAGAATGTGGAGCTCTTTCCCCAGAGATTATGAGTAATATTGAAATACATAAAATTCTCCTCTTCTGTTCCTCATTTTAAGATATTAACAAAGTACAAGAGAAAATGTAAGGAACTTCTTCCCTGAGGTTGTGGCAAAATAGCAACTGAGTTTAGAGATCTGGTGTCCTTGCTTAGCTGTATCAGTCCCGAGGCAAGTGTGGATCTTTGCAAGATGGCGTAAGACAGTGGAGGTGGGGCATCCTGAACCCTGAGGAAAACAGTTTCTCATCTTCTTTGTCAAGCAATTGGACAACAGAAGTCAGTCTAATACACAACTGGGAAATCTCAGGTTGTGTCCAGGCAAGGGGTGGGTGAAGAGTTCCCTCGACATTTACCTTTGCAAATCTGCACAACACCCATGATGATGATCAGGGCCAGGGCCAGGAGCTTCCCAGCTGTGAAGACGTCTTGAACCCGGGTGGCCCATCGGACACTGGAGCAGTTGACCCATGTGAGCAACACTGCAATGACAATACCAGATAAGCCCTCAGAGGCTGCAGGACACAATGCTCCTGTCTCCCAACCTCACACCACAGCCCCACTGACCAGAAACTGAGACTGGGTTAATAGGTTACAATGGGGATTACATGTCTCAATTTGAGCTTGGTTAGAGTGCTCATTCCCCATCCCGGGCTAGAAGCCAGATAGGCAGGGATACATGGGCACTGACTCAGTCAAGGGAGACTTAGTCATGACCAGGGTACAGGATGGAATTAGGAGTTCAATTATATTTGTTCATGGGAAGCCCTGAGCGCTAGTATAATCTCGGATATTACCTTATTGAGTCTGGTTCTGGGGCAGCAGAGGGTTAGGGACTCTTGTTGCTTAGGTTTATTAAGCATAAAATTCACTCTAAAGCAACAAGCAACACCAACGAGATTTGTGCCCTCCTGCCTCAACCTCCTCTTGAAGTGTCTGAATTAGAGGTTTGTGCCACTATACTCACCTCAAAATTCACCTTCTTCTTCTTCTATTTATCTTTATTTATTCTTTGTGTGTATGGGGGGTGGTTTTGAGACAGAGTTTCTCTGGAACTCACTTAGTAGACCAGGCTGGTCTTGAACTCACGGAGATCTGTCTGCCTCTGCCTCCCAAGTGCTGGGATTAAAGGTGTGTGCCACTACTGCCCGGCCCATCATCTCTTAATACGGGAAAATAATGTGCTTCCGGCCTTGACTTCTCATGAAGATTAGGGAATCATCCTTCTCTGGGGACCTGAGGGATGGGGGGGGGGGCGTCCATCATTTGCAGAGAGGGAATGTGGAATGGTTTCTCTAAGCTTCTGCCTCATTTCCCTCATGCCTGGAAGAGGGGCCACAGCAAAGCCAAACGTTCTTTCAGACTCAGGAAGCACTTATTCCTCATCCTAGCAGCTGTGACCCGGAGGTAATATCATAAGCTCATTAGCCTAGGCTACTCAGTTAGACCATACCTCAAAACAACAATGGCAAAACATTCGCCTCTAAGTTCTGTTTATTATTTTTATCTTAATATATCTGTGTGTATCTAAATGTGTACATGTTACCAGTGTGTGGGTGTCCTTGGAGACCAGATGAGGCCATTAGGTTTCTTGGAGTGAGTTCTAGGTGGCTGTGACCTACTCAGTGTGGTTGGGAACTGAACTTGGGTCCTCAGGAAAAGAAGCAAGTGCCTTTAACTGCTGAGCCCTCTCTTTAGACCCTACACCTCATTTATTTATTAGAAAAAAAAAAAACCAGCAACTTTATTTCAGCCAGGTGTGATGGTGCTCGCTTTTAGTCCCAACATTTGGGAGGCAGGGGCAGAGGAATCTCTTTGAGTTCAAGGCCAGCAGGTGTGCATAGCCTTTCCTAGGCCAGCCAGGGCTACGTAGTGAGACCTTGTCTAAAATCATCTTTATTTTATTACTATTGTACATGTGGGAGGGGGTCACACGTCGTGGTGCCATGTGAGGGGTTCAGAGGGCTACTTTGAGGAGTCGGTTCTCTGTCTACCTTCATGTGAGTTGTGAGGACTGAGTTCAGGTAACGGGGTTTGTGGGGCAAGAGCCCCTCTGCAAAGCCACATCCTGAGCCACCTCAGGGTGCCTCTAAGCTTTGCTTGTGAGCAAGTCACTGGGGCTAGGATTCTGGTCATACAGTAAGTGCACATTTAATTTTAGAAGAAATTGTTGTATGTCTCCCAGTAATGAATGTCAGCAAGTTCTCAGGTGCCTGTTCGCCAGCTGTGTTTCTATGTTCTTTGGTGGCATGGGATGGTCAGTATCTCCAGCTCTGCCTCCCTGGAGGAGTCACAGCACTTTCAACAATGTGGACCCAGACAGGCTGGCCAAGTGCAAAGAGGCCAGATGCTAGGTAAGTGAGCTCTCCGCTTTACCCCTGCACTGTCAAGGTAAATTTCAGGAGCTATGGCTTGCAAACGAATGTTTTGCTTTGTTTTGAAGATAGAGTTTTTCTGTGTAGCATTAGCTGTCCTGGAACTTGCTCTTTAAACCAGGCTGGCCTCAAACTCAGAAATCTGCCTGCATTTGTCTCCAGAGTGCTGGGATTAAAGATGTATGCAACCATGCCTGGCAAAAGCATGACTCTTAATTTGCAGACTATTGCAAAGTACTTGAGAACAAAGGGAAAAATTATCCTCCTGGCTCTCCTTTTCCTGAACTAGTGGGCAGGGTACTCCTTGTGTTCGAAGGTTGCACACAGCACTGTAAAAGCAAAGGACCACTTCTGTCTTTCATGCTCCCAAGGGTTCTGACTTCACTTGAATGCTAAAGGACACCAACATCTGATCCTCAAGTAGACTCCTATTTTCCAAGTGTTTCCCAACCCTGCTAGGTCCTGGGAACATGTCAACAAAGCAGGTTGGTCCTGCATCTGTGGTCTTCTTCCCTGCATTGTTTGGGGTTGGCAAACTCCTCCCACCTTTCCAGACCTACCTGTTCCATGAAGCTTTGTAATTTTATTGATTCCTAACAACATGCCTGCAAGATAAGCTGTGTCAGTCACATTTTATATGCAAGGCACAAAGTTTGTCTTTCCTGGATGGAATAGTCCCACACTGTTTTGCTTTATATCTCATCGTGGTACCTATTCATATTAAAGTTATCTGAGGCAGGTGGACTGCTCTGAGTTCAAGGCTACCCTAGAGTACATATCAAATACTGGGTTGTCCAGGGCTTCAATTAAAATTCTGCCTTAAAAATTACACACACACACACACACACACACACACACACACAATTTCTGTTTCTTTAGCTTTTTCACATCTTTAACTCCCAAGCATGTCATCAGTGCTTACAAATAGCAGCTGTAGAACAAATATTTAACAAATGAAGAAAATGCCATAACCCATTAGTTTTCCAATCTCTGAATTCCAAGTGCACACCATTCTCCCCTGTCCCCTTAGAATTTCATTAACAGGGAAGACAATCCCTAGTTGTTTTCATAGAGTTGAAAGAGTAATGGGAAGTCTGACTTTTGAGAGTAGAAACTCTTGATTCTTCATGCAAGAGCTGTGAGCCAGTCTGCTACCACAGCAGAAGAATCAAAACATGTCCCTGGAGGAAGGCTTTTAAGTGCCTGAACAGGGAGAACATTTTGTAAATACTAGAATGTTCCAGATGGACAGAGATCTTGATAAATACACATTTGGTTATCTTACTCAATTCAGTAAGGATTTCAGGGTCACGTGCCTGGTGGTAATCCAACCCAAAGCAATCTTAACAACTTGGCTGTGACCTCATCTTCTCCCCAGGGCCCTGAGATGCTCTGGGTACAAGGCCAGGTGTCCCATACACAGAAATCCAGGCCGCGACAGCAGTGATGACTAAAGGATGAAGGAGACTGTCTTATAAAAGAAGACTAGAAAACAAAACCCACATGGCTTAGGGATGGGTAAGGGTTACAAAGTAAGGGCTTGTATCTTGACCCCTCAATCTCCCCAGAGCAAAACCATCTTCCACTAAGGGGAGGCCAAGGCAGGGTGGACAGATGACGAGAAAACACTTGAGGAAAAGCAGAGCTGGGCAAACTCACAGAGGTGCCTCCTGCTAAGCAAGAGGGAGAATCCCTCCCTCCCTATGTACTGGGATGGAAAACATAAAATTCTCTTTACAAGACTCAGGGTGACTAAGGTGACCAAAGGACAGGTGTTTTGACATGTAGTCTTGTTGTTAATGTCTTCTGTTACTGCCAGTCTTCACAAGAACTCAGACCTTGACTAATATTTAACCTTCCAGTGTCAAAGAGACCTTTCAGAAGTAAGACAACTGCTGAGGCTGGGCAGATTGCCTGTGCCCCCTAATCTCTCAGAACAATGCTACAGGTCCAAGGCTTACCCTTCACCCTGCAGTTGGGCCATCACAGCACGTGACTGAGAGGAGAGAGGGGACTTTGAGTCTCTTGGTACAGCAGAACAGCTTCCTTCACAGCAGCTGAAACTTGAGCCTCCAACCATAGAGGAAAGGTCAGAGAGTGAAGGCAATACTTGCTGGGTGTTTGCCAAGGCCTTCCTGCGTAGGAGGCCTGGTGCTGCCCATCTGCTCCCCAGCACCCCTTTCTGCTGCCAATGACTATGTTCTCTCTGTCTCTGTGCTGCCTGACCCTGAATTCTGCACACCTGGAATCTCGTGACTTCAGGAAAGCCACATGTAGATGGAACCAGTGGTACCATAGCTTGAAACGTAACAGTTTCTATCCACCCATTGTCTATCTACACAGGTCTACCAGAGCCAGGCTCACTGGTACGTAAAGCTAGACATTGTAGTGTAAGCCTGTAATCCCAGCAGGCTGGGATCCTCAGGAGGCCGAGGCTAGAGGGCTGCCATGAGTTTGAGGCTAGCTTAGGCTGCTTAATGAGTTCCAGGACAGCCTGAACTATAGAGGTTTTGTCTTAATTACTCCCATCAATACCCGCCCCCAAATCCAAAACAAAACAAAAAGGGTGAGCACAAAAAAATGTGTTGAGAGCAGAGCCAGCATGGGAGTCAGCCAGCATCCATACTGGACCGAAGCCAGCCCAGGGCATCCTGTGGAAGGGACCTCAGGAATGTGAACTTTACAGCTCTGGTATAGCTAGAAATAGTAATGAAAAATTCTAGTTCTTATTCATGGTAACCTATTTCAAATAGTCACTGGTCTCTGGAGCTCTGTGGAACTCCAGGCATATCTGATTTTCTTGGGCATTTCTCTCTCTCTCTCTCTCTCTCTCTCTCTCTCTCTCTCTCTCTGAGTTAAAAAAACAGAAAAAGAAAAAGATAAAAAGAGCACCGAGAAGACCTGCTTCTGTGCCTTAACAAGATCCTGTCTGAGAGGGAGAAAGGAAGAGGGAGATGCGGGGAGGGAGAAAGGGAGCCCCTAGGGAAGTAGTTCTCAATCTTCCTAATGCCGCAACCTTTAATACAGTTCCTCATGTTGTGATGACCCCCCAAACCATAAAATTCGTTGCTATTTCATAACTAATTTTGCTATTGCTATGAACTGTA